GCTCCACCGGTCGTTTTTTACACCGCCCTCCCCCCTTATCGACGTCATTTTCCAGCTACACCAGTCAATTTTTATACCGCCCCCCCCCCTTCCCACTTCCCACTTCCCACTTCGCCGGATTTCGTGCTCTGGTGTTGAGGCTATTTCTTGGCTCATTTTTGGCGTAGAGGTTATTGAAATATAAAAGACAATGATAAACATTACAGAATAAAGTTTTTCGATTTTTATAATACAAAAGTTAGGTATTTAAACCACCAAAAAAAAAAATGTTTTTAACCATTGCAATCATTTATTAACGCATTTAATATTATCTAATTGTTGTCTATTATTCATAAATTACTCGCGATTATAGCCCGTCAAACAATGGTGCCCACAATGTGTGAACTTCCCACCTCCTAAAGTGACTTGACAAAACATGAATTCAAGCACGCACTTTATAAGATTCCCAATTACTGCTACCTGCCCCCCCCCCCCCAAAAAAAAAAAAAAAAACCGCCCGAGTACGCCACCGCCCCTGAGCTATATTTATTTCTTTTAATGTCCCTCTTCTTTTTTTAACCGTAGATTTATTACACCAACTCTTTCCGTAAAACAAAAGAAAATAGTATGCGCACCAAATGCACTTGCGGTGTTTTAAAGCATCTTATTTAGCGCAGTTTTCCAGGAAGCTATTTTATTTTGCGCGCTATTGAACATCTGGGTACCGTTTATGTTTATTGATTGAAATATGGTTGAGGAACTCTGTTTTTTGTTCCCCAACAAAATATCGTTTTCTTGCCGTTCATTAAATTCTCATCGTTTGGCGGCATTTCTCCTCAAAGCATTTCAGATTTGTCAAATTTACCGCCAAGTGATGGGAATTCCGAAAAACTGCTCGCCGTGTCTTGGGGTTGAATGCTTGAGAACTCCTGTAGGTTTATGGGAGAACTGTTTAGAATGGATAGTTCAAGCGATGCTACCACTGCTACCATGGCTTAAAAAAAAAAAAGCGTAGCTTGATTTCAATGCTATCGCCCTTGCCAGTAGCATGACGTATAATTCATGAACTAATGTACCACTATATAAGTCAATGAACCACTATACATAAGCAAATGTACCACTACATAATCCAGCGTACCACTAGGTAACCCAATGTAACCTTACATAATCCAGTGTACCAATACATTACCCGATGTACCATTGCATAAGCTCACTCAGAGTTTAATAACTTACTTGGCTTGAAACCCTTGACATTATAAAGTCGAACTACAGGAGATACGTGGGTGGGTTTTGAGTTTTTACGATACAGATCAACACTTTTCGGAACTTTCTCTTCTGCCATTTCAAATTTTGCCACTGGTGTTTTAAGTAGCGTACTAATAATTACGATATTAAAAAATTTAAACAAATTCGGCTGAACGCCATTTATTTCGTATGTTTGTGAGAAGGCATTTTTTTTCTTCTGGAGTTAATAAAAAAAAGAGTTGTAAATTTCTAAGGTCAACTTCGGTGTAAACACAAACATGGCCTCGGGCGTGATGGTACCAGAGCTCTGACCTTTAACCTGAAGGTCGGGTTGAACGTGTAGTAGATGATGGGGTTGGCCACGAAGTTGACCAGCTGGACGGTGGTCAGGTGCCTGAAGAGCACGTGCTCCAGCACCGGGCTGTCGGCGTAGCTCGGCCCGTAGAAGCTGACCATGTAGATGACCCAGGGCGGCACCCAGGACAGCAGGAACGCCGCCGTCACCGACAGCAGCATCAGCGTCATCTGGCGAGGGCAACAGTTTACGGTCAGTTGTGACGAATACATGAATATGTTTATGTCAATGTCCAACTACACAGTACTGGAACTCCCGGAGCTGGAACGCATACGTGCGGTTGTCGGCGGTGCATAGCTGCAGCCAACGCGTGTTCCCAGTGGTGAAAAGGAATATATGTTGGGGGGAAATTGTTTGAAATGGATATCTCGGCGGAGGAAAAAGAATTCATAGTTGAAAATTACTGTCGCTATAACGGGGGTGGGGTGGGGTGTTTTTGTTTGTTTTTGTTTGTTTTTTTTTTGGGGGGGGGGTTTTCGAGTTTGATTTTTTAAAATTTTAAATTGCATTCTAATTAAAATGATTATTGTCTATTTTTACGACATTTCACCGATCTGGAAAGGCACTATGTCGGCGGAAAGTGGAACACGTGGCNGGGGGGGGGGGGGGGCATACTGTAATTCCATGTGGAGGAAAAAAAAACAACGCTATGGACCGTTATTTGCTGAGATTAAATATAGACAGAATAAACAACATAGAACACAGCTAACGGGGACGAAAAAGACACACAGACACAAGAGTGATCGCCTGTTCACGCGTGTGACTCAATCCACAGAAGGATTGAAGCGAAACAGTTGGTGTTCGCAAAGTTATTTCAGGGAGATAATTTGATTTCAACCCCTCATCCGCCCCCTCCCCTCCCCCCCCCCAAAAAAAACAACAACAAACAAACAACCTTTTTATTATATTTTAAGCAGTAAGTCTCTCAGGGTTACCTCTCACGTAATCTTTCTTACTCACTTCTTTCCCCCTGTCTTAAATTTCGATCTTCGTTGTTTTTTCCCGCCTTCTTCGCCATTTTTATTTCCTTCTCACTCACATTCTAAACCCACATGCTCATCTTTCTGTCTAACTCTCCATCATGGGTGGCCGTGTGTGTCGGAATAGGGCTTGCCATTAAATGGCGGAAATCTATTAATAGAACTGATGTCATCATTACTCATCATCCGGGTACTCAGCGCGGACACAATGTCACCACTGTTCAGTGCTACTATGTTAGCGAAGTGTTCCTGAAACGTGTTTACAACTCTGTTTTACGAAATATTTTACACATTTTTTTTTTTACTTCTATTTTCTGAAATGAGACTCCATTGCGCGAACGGCATATGTAACAGTAACTCTAGATACAATGGTCGTCCGAATGATAGGCTGAAACGCACTATAAGCTGCCGTGTTTTAAGCAATATTTGTCCGCCGACCTTCTAAAAATAGTGCGCTATGACGTTTTCCGGTCTGAGAAATGACAAAGCCAATTAAAACCACTATCCGCAATTATTTATATTAATATTTAAAATCAAAGAAAAACAAACAAACAAACAAACAAACACTGATTTTAAAAAACAACAACAACAAACAAACAAATATCAGTGAAGGAGCAACAAATAATAATTCAAGAAACTTACCTGCCTCTCTCTGGCAAATCGCCGTCTACTCCCCGTGGACTTAACCGAACTCTTGGACGTCTTCGAACCTTGGCTCCTGTGGCGCCTCAGCTTGGCCAGGAATATCGTCGTCGCCATGTCGCTCAGCGCCTCCTCGTCATCGCCCAGCTCGCTGTCCATCTCGCAGGACGAGATCTTCGGGAGCGGGACCGCGAAGGTGGGCGACTTGGTCGACTCTCCCGAGGTCCGTGATGAGATGCTGCCGCTGGGCTTGAGGGCGCTCTTCGGGAGTGGCGATGGCGGTACAAGGAGATCATCGGGTTTCTCGTTGGACCCCTGAACCCCGTTCTGATAACAGAATGTCTTGGCGTTTTCCGAAACGGATGACGGCGTACCGTACCGAAGTCGTGGAGCTGTGGGGCTTTGCTCGCCGGCGCACAAGGGTTCTGTGCTTTGGCTTTTGCACGAAAGACGATTCCGGGGGTCGGGGGGACCCTCGTGGCACAAAGACTTGGGGTGAATACCCGGAACATCGTATCCCAACTGCTTGCTGATGATATCATCGTCAAACCGAAACACCCTGTCGTTGCGAAACGCTCTGTCGTCCGTCCCGACTTGATCATAGCCTAGCATGATGTCGTCCGTCTCGACATAATTCAAACGGAACTGGGTATCGTCCGTCTGCTCGGCGTTGATTCGAAACTGACATACGGTGTCCAGGTCCCCGTTTTGCAGCGTCGCAGATTTTCGAATTTCTGGGTATTCCCGAAATTCCAAAACTGAAAGTGAGTATGATCGGCGGATCTTGTTCACGGCGATCTTGCGCAACTGCACATAAACCGCGCCGCTTTTGAAAGGTGAAATTATGTCATTTGGTTCAAGGCCAGTGCAAAGTTCACCCATAGATTTATGCGATTTAACATACAGTTCTTTGTTTAAATGAGGGTGCCTAGAGTGGCCGGCGCTCGTTGGTGATTTTATCATCGTCGCACTGGGCAAAAAGAATGATCGTAACCATGGCAGGCATTGTGCACTTCCGGCTTTCAGGTTTGACGAAGAATCCTTGTCTGAGTCGGCGCAATGACCTCGCCCGAGTTCACCCCCTCTGCTAATTTGAGCGGCATAAAACAACTGTTTGTCCGCTGTGTCGCGGTGTTCGTTTTCACGTGCGATACCCCTCCCCCTTCTGCGCCCGCACCGCTGCGTCCCTATTGCCGAAACGTCCACGGACGACGAACGCCGTGGCGGTGAAATTTCATACGAACATGAATAATTGATGTGTTTTTCACCGTCTGCTCGGGGCCCGGTGGCTGTTTCCAAGACTCGGCGTTTCGAATTCTCCTCGGGGGAGGTGCCGTGCACACTATCCGCTGTCGGTGATGAAGAATAGTTTTCGGAATTCCTGCCTCCTAATTCATAAGAGCTTTTTGCCAACACATTATCCGAATGATTTAAATGGTCTACGTTGGCGGTCTCCATTAACTTTTGTCGGTCGGGTGCCCGGAAAGTCACACATTCTGTGTCCTGATACGAGTTGGAGTAATTTGTCGCATTGTCACCAACGTCCCGCTGTTTAGGAAAGCCGCCCTGTGGCATGAGTGGTGTGGTGGGCTTGTTGTTCGACTGCCTGGGGGCCTGAATGGCAGGGGTTTGAAACCCGGCAGACTGATCGTTGCTCGGCCGTTGAACGTTGATTTTAGGACAAAGCCCAGAGTTTGACATTGACCTTTTGTCGAGCAACGCGGCGCTTTCATAGTGGGTTGTGTCGTCGCTAATCTCACCACGAGACGCACCATTTTTACTCAGCTCGGGGTCGGCTTGGGGACACTTTTTCGAACGATCGGGGGAAGCCTCGCAACAGCTCAATCCGGCCTTCCACCAACTACTGCAGTCTACGTCATCGCGAGCCGCCGTTGGCGCCGAGGCTTTGGGGCCGAGGCCGTCGTTTTCTAAAAGCCGCTGTTTGATCCTGACCTTCTCGCCAATGCGTCTGCACACGCTGAAGTAGGCGAAGGTCACTAGGACAAAGCTGAGCACGAAGACGCAGAACAAGCACGTGTTGTAGATTCTCGTCGGCTGGGACAGCATGCGCGGTCTCGCTCGCACGCAGAGGTTACCGGTATCCTTGAAGCTGTCGATGGTGGGGAACACGCAGAGCGCCGCGGAGACGGGGATCGACCAGCCGCAGACGTGCCGGGCCATGACCGGGGTCAGGGAGTGCAGGGCGGGCTTGCAGATCTTGATGTAGCGGTCCACCGCGACCACGACGAGGATGATGAGCGACGCGATCATCGCCGTGTACTGAAGCCAGTGGTCGAGGCCGCACCATACCCCGGTCAGCCAAGGGATCTTGATCTCGAACTCCGACCTGAGGTGGAGCATCGGCGAGAATAAGCAGACGACGGCATCGGTGACGCCCATGGTGAATATCAACCAATCGCAGGCCGTCTTCGGCGCCGTCCTGCCGTAGATGACGGCGATGACGATGTTGCCAGGTAAGCCGATGACGAGGATCAGGATGAGATAAATGGTGTAGAGCGCCCTTATCCAATCCGGCAGGTTAGGCAGGTTAATAGGCTGGAGAGTAGTCACGTTGGACATTTTAAGTATAGCTGAGGTTTTCAATGATGTCGTTAAAAAAAAAATAGTTAAACATTTTGAAGTTTTATCGTCATAGAACGGTTTGTGTGTGTGTGTGTGTGTGTATTACTTTACTCCTACAAAGTAAGAATTCGATACCATTTTCCTAAAAATCGATATAATTTTTCTAAAAATTGATACTTCTGCGAAGAAAATAACAAGGGAATTCGCCCATGATCGATATCTACCATCAATGATTATTTGTAGAGTTCGCGTGAATCAATGCTCTTTTCACCAGTTATTATTACAAATAAATCTTTCTTTCCATTTTCTGGCAGCTGATCTCAACATAAGTGGCCTTCACCTGCAAGGAGAAAAAAAAAGGGTCACGTGAAATACGAGTTTGGTTTCTTGGACGGCAGGATCGATAAGCGCATTAAAACCTTGTGGCTCATTGGTCATATTAGATCATTTCCCCAAAAACGGGTTTTGTCAAGGGATGACGGAGTTCAATTAAGTAGTAGAAAATCCTGAGTTACGGAAACCCCTTGAACGTGAGGTTAATAGGATGGCGGCTACTGGAACAATGCACACCCCGAGAGGGAGAAGCGACATGACTGGACATTGGGATATAACAAGTAGAGTACAGATATTTTTTTTTTTTAAAAAGGGACTCTCTCTCTAAAAAAATGTCGAAAAATCGAGAAGAATCACACAATGGCCAAAATCAGTTAATACCAAAAAAGCGAACAATTTTTACGCCTGATGGTTTAGTTTCATTCCGAATTTTTTTCTTCTTCTTAAACAGCTAGAATCTGTATTTAAAGGATTAAGACGAAAATGTTTATTATTGAAGTTTTTTTTTTAATTAAAGGTAACACTAACAGTTTTCGTAAACTATCATTAAAAAAAAAAACCCCACTAAACTTCCGGGTACATGATATACTTATAATACAAATATGTGTTTTTGAATCCTTTACATCAACCTTGCTTTTGTGTATTAAGGGCAACATCTTCGGACGGCTAATTGACCCACTTCCTGGTGACCTATCGAGCTGACACAGAGACTCGTTTCCGATGACAACACATTCTTTCAAATTTTCGAAGGCCTGCGTTCAAGCTGTGTGAAAAGAACGATTGGATCAAGGTATACGGATGCCTAAAACAGAGAGACATGATGATACAAGAAGAACGTTTCGGCTAAGAGCCTTCGTCAGCGGACAGGACAAATGAAGAAACAACAAGAAATAACAAGAGGTCATATTGCACGTGGCATTTTCAAGGTTTGCCTTTTATCTTGTACAGTTCTTACAGATTCATTACAGTATGTATAACAAGGATGAAAGTATATACATTATAGTAAGTACAGAAAGTATAGTAAGTATACTGAGTAAAGTAAGAAGTAAGCACAGGGAGTGGAGTAAATATAGTACGAGTGATATGGATATAAACTGATTCTGTGTCAACTACAACCAAAAAATCCACGGGTTTTCAAAGCTATTTTTTCTATAGTTCTGATTGGAAGACCACATTTTTCAGTGCTGTATTTGTAAGGGGTGCCTTATAAAGGGAGGTTTAACCAACGGGGGGGGGATAGGTACCAGTATATATAAAGACCTGGGGGGGGGATAGGTACCAGTATATATAAAGACCTAAGGTTATGAGTATTTTAAGCTCTGTCAAAGGAGAACGCTAACAGACTGTTTAATACAGCTTACTCATGGGGCGCCGCTCTGCTGACGACTCCATGGCATCTGTGCATGGAATCTGTGCATGGCATCCGTGCATGGCATCCATGCATGGCATCTATGCATGGCATCTGTGCATGGCATCCGTGCATGGCATCCGTGCATGGCATCTGTGCATGGCATATGTGCATGGTATCTGTGCACGGGATCCATACATGGCATCCGTGCATGCCATCTGTGCATGGCATCTGTGCATGGCATCTGTGCATGGCATCTGTGCATGGCATCCGTGCATGGCATCCATGCATGGCATCCGTGCATGGCATATGTGCATGGCATCTGTGCATATCTTTTTCGCTTTTGGAATGGTTTCCAGTTTTCTTCTAAAATGTTTTCTTTGGAATCAAGAAGTGCTAATGTGTCAAATGTGTCAAATGTGTCAAATGTGTCAAATGTGTCAAATGTGTCAAATGTGTCAAATGTGTCAAATGTGTCAAATGTGTCAAATGTGTCAAATGTGTCAAATGTGTCAAATGTGTCAAATGTGTAAAGTGTGTCAAATGTGTCAAATGTGTCAAATGTGTCAAATGTGTTGACTTTGTTTTTTGGACTGATCATCTTGCGTGTTATTATCGTCGCAGTGGTTGCGTTGAATCTCTGGACGTCGTAGGCTTCAACCAAAATCATACCGCCATCTTGGACTCAAAGGATCCAGCATGTTATCCGCCATCTTGGAATCAAAGGATCAGGCATGTTATCCGCCATCTTGGAATCAAAGTTTCCGGCATATAATCCGCCATCTTGGGATCAAAGGATCAAGCATGTTATCAGCCATCTTGGACTCAAAGGATCAGGCATGTTATCCGCCATCTTGGACTCAAAGGATCAAGCACGTTATCAGCCATCTTGGACTCAAAGGATCAGGCATGTTATCCGCCATCTTGGAATCAAAGATTCCGGCATATAATCCGCCATCTTGGGATCAAAGGATCAAGCATGTTATCAGCCATCTTGGACTCAAAGGATCAGGCATGTTATCCGCCATCTTGGACTCAAAGGATCCGGCATGGTATCCGCCATCTTGGAATCAAAGGATCAGGCATGTTATCCGCCATCTTGGAATCAAAGATTCCGGCATATAATCCGCCATCTTGGAATCAAAGGATCAGGCATGTTATCCGCCATCTTGGAATCAAAGGGTCAGGCATGTTATCCGCCATCTTGGAATCGAAGGGTCAGGCATGTTATCCACCATCTCGTACGATGTCGGGATAACAGAAACGAACTAAAGACAAGCCGGCTGCAGATAATATGGGTGTCCATAAAAGCCGTTCAGAAACCAAGCCCAGTCTCTGGTCCAAATAACAACATACACTTAAGGACCTAGCAGCTATTATGATCACAAAGTGATACACTAAAGAACCTGACAGCTTTTCTGATAACACAATGATACACTCAAGAATCTAACAGCTACTCTAACCACACAATGATTCACTCAAGGACCTAACAGCTATTCCTACCACACAATGTTTCACTCAAAGACCTTACAGCTATTCGGACCACACATGGATTCACTCAAGAATCTAACAGCTATTCTGTCCACATAATGACTGACCGAACACGTTGCTACTGGCAAATTTTGGGGGGAAAAGAAAAAAAACTCCAAGTCCAAGAATGTCAAAACTGAAAACAATATGTCCGATACAATCAAACCAAAAGTCCCACCTGTTTGGATCAATAAAACCATCTTATCTTATCTTAAACAATCCACCCGCCCCAACAATTCCCACCCTACCAGCGCCCCCCTCCCTCGGTTCACTTACGGCGTCGTAACTCATATTTAAAATTAAAAAAAAAAAAATTAAGATACTCACTGCCCAAAATGGCCAGCCATTTCGTTGTAAGGTTTTCAGCTTTACGGACCCATCTCAAATGGAACAATCATATAGATTCATTTTTGTTTTGTTTCCCTTCTTTAACTGATTTAAAACTATTTTCAACATGCACGTGTTTATCCTAAGATATGCCTGACAAATGGAAAAGGGGGGGGGGGGGTGAAACTGATCTTTGACACCAACGCCGTTTCAAAGAATGGAACAAAAAAAATTTAAGGGCCCGGAAAGAAATGAAATATTCTTTTCGTGAGATTGGTGAGGCAATCAAAGGAGCTTCCCCCCCCCCCCTTTTTTAGTTTTTACAAGGGAGAGCACTGCTCGTTATTTATTGTTATCACGGAGGGTCAGTCAATTTTAGTGGCTCTCAAGTCTTTGTTGTTGCTGTAATATTAGACCCCGTTATAAATCTGCTGAAGTTATGGACCCCTTGGAAAGTCTAGTTAAGTCATAGATCCTTGGAAATTCTGGTGAAGTCGTGGTCCCATCGGTAAGTCTAGTGCAGTCATGGTCCCATTGGAAAGTATTATGAAGTCATGGTTCCCTTGGAAAGCCTGGTAAAGTTATAGTTCCCTTGGAATGTCTGGTGAAGTCATAGTTCCCTTGGAAAGTCTGGTTAAGTCAAATATATGCATATACATACTATGTAAAATTACGTTATACTTATTTAAATGGGTTACCGGAAATTTGATCGAAAGAAATTTCGTCGACGGTAAATTGATCGACGGAAATTTGATCGAACGGAAATTTGGTCGAATCTTTTTTCGGTTCACACGTTAAAATTTTCGTCAAATTTCTATTTGAACGCACTATACTATACAGCAAAACAAAATAATGTGTTCAAAAAGACATTTGAAGCAAAATTTTAA